AGATGGTGATGAGGGTGACTGATGATGATCACAGTCATGGTCATGATGGAGATGACTGCACATGATTGGGATGATGATAAGATGGTGATGAGGGTAACTAATGATGATGACAATGATGGTCATGGTCATGATGGTGATGGTGATGACAACAGTTATTGTGATGATGGAGGTGATGATGGTGATAATGAAGACAATGATGCTATTAGTGAGATTAATAAAAAAGACAACAATGTTGATGATCCTGATGATGACAGTGTTGCTGCTGCTGTTGATGATGGTGGTGATGATGATGGAAATGATAATGATGGTGGTGATAATGATGACGATGATGGTGGTGATGATGATGATGATGAGGATGGTGGTGATGATGATGACGATGATGATGATGGTTATGATGATGATGGTGATGATGGTGATGGTAATAATGAGGATGGTGATGTGGTGTGAGTGGTAGTGATGATGATGATGTTGATAGTGATGGTGGTGGTGATGATGGTGGTGCTGATGTTGGTAGTGATAATGAAGATGGTGATCATGGTGATGATGACTATGATGACAATGACATAGTGGTGACAATGACAACCACTGATGATTCCGATGTTGCTGCTGCTAATGATGATAATGATGATGATGATGTTGATAGTAATAATAATAGCAATGATGGTTGTAATGGTATTGCCTCCACCTACCTCCCCTTCAGGACTAGCACTTCTCATCAGCTCATTAATAATCAATAATGACCCATGGGCCTTGTCTTCCTTCGTCAGTACCACACCCTTTTCCTTAGTGTTTACTGTGTCTTCAAATCCCCTTTTAGCCTCTTCATAGCTTTGCTGTTGATAAAGTGTACTAATGAAATTAGCGCTTTCTTACCGGCCTATCATAGTGACATCACTACAAACCACATGGCAAAAACCAAGGGCTAAAATGAAAAATTGCCACTTGTCCAGGCAAACACCTCTTAGACCAGTCCTCTTGACCAGTCACATTGACAAGTAAGTCTTCTCACATATGACGCACTGGTGAGCAGGGATCGCTCTCACCTCTACTTGTACGCCACCTGTGCTTCCCTTATTATTTGTCCTGAATAAGTTTAAGACTTACACTGTACCACAGTGGTGGTTTTCTGATCTCTTTGGTCTCCCTCTGGGCAAGTATCACAAGGCAGGCCCTGAGAGCTTCCATTGCTCCTTCACGTATCGCTTGCTTTAAATACAAAATTAAATTAAAAATTAACATGAAATATTTAACAATAATGCTGAAGGTTCAGTGTAAGGGCGCTTTCCATTAGGTTGAACCGACCACTCAGAGTGGCCAGTTCTCAAAATGGTACCTGGCAGTTCTATAGAACTAGTTGACCAAGTTCTAAAAACTAATAAGAATTGGTGCACATACTATCTGGGAACTGGCTGCTCAGACTGGTCAGTTTGACTTAATGAAAAGCCACCTAGATTTTTCCATACCAATGGATAATGGATATATTGGATATATTACAGCTATTTTGAATATATTTACACAGGGTTTACGCTACATTCTCGTTACAAAATTCAAGGACTTTTTAAGCACTTTTCAAGCACAAAAATTCGATTTTCAAGGACAAAGTTTTTTGTATTAGAACATGGTTTTAAACATTGATTCAATGTTAAAGTGCAGCTAATTCAGCCAGGGCCACTAGCTTAGATAAAGAACGAGCATGACACTAGGGATCAACTTGATTTTATTTGTAAGCTAGTTTGTAGGTGAGGCAGTGTTAAGGTGAGTTCACTGGTGAAAGCCAAAAATATAAAAGGTACCGGCTGATTATTTTTGATTTACAGAAGAGGAAAAAAATCAACATGCAGCTTAGTAACTTCCAAGTTTGCATATTATTGAAATCTGCAGTAACTTGTATGAGTAATGGTATTTGTACATATAAGAGTCAAAATCTATACCTTTGGGTCTCTTACTGCATTGAATATATTATCAAAGAATGGCTGGACTTGTTGAAAGAAGAACGTTGGTGCATTCAAAGCAAGCTCCCTTAAAACCAACACCTGTGACAATAAAATGGCAAACACTATTTTATTATGGAAGCATTTTAATCTCATCACAATTTACATCACAATTTACATCACAATTTTAAACATTTTATTGTATAGCTAAATTTTCAAACCCTTAATAAATTTAGACACTTTTTATTTGTTTGTTTGTTTTGTTTTATAAGCTTTGCCCATGAAACAAAATTACAAAAATTACAAAAATTACAAAAAGAAAAAAGAAAGGAAAAGGGCAGGGTGACCGCAACAGCGCAAACCAATTTATTGATGGAGAAAAAACAGAGAAACCAGAGAAAACCTCTAAAAACACAGGAGAGAATCAAGAAGCAGTTCCATACTGTCTCATAATGGAAAGTACTGGTGCACAGAGGTGAGCACTCACCTCTCATCAATGTGACCTATTTTCGTGTCCAGACAGGCTTAGTGTCGTATGTGAGCAGAGTTGTTTGTTGGTTCTCTCCTGTGCTTCAAGGGTTTAAACTTCTCAATAGTCCCTCTATTATAGCAAGCTCAACGTTTGTCTTGCTTCGATGCAAAGGCATGGCTACCTTTGAAGATGGTGCAAGGAAATGTGAAGGGACTATTCCAATTGGAATCCAGTGGATGAAGAGCCACTCTATGGAATCCACTGTTAATTCCCCCATTATCACATAATTCATCACATTTACGACATCACATTTATCATTTATCAATTTATGATAGTGGGTTTGAGAGTAACACCCATGACTATGGCATTGAGAGATATTTCATTACCAGAACACTGCATCCATGCAGTTCACTYGTAACAAAATCAGAGTCGAAGTCAGAGTTGAAGTCAGAGTCAAAGTCAGAATCAGAAGTGGAAACAGTTTATGAGTGAAAAACAGAAAACAGAGTATGGGACTCAGAAGTGTGTCAGGAGCAGAATCTGAAGGATCAGAAGGTTTTGTTTTGCTTGGCCTTTGCTTACACTTAGATATACCATTTTCATTTGCAATTTTCAGTACGAACTGCTTCCAACTCTGACTCCGACTCCGTCACAAATTAAAACCAGGCTTAATATGGTTAAAATATTACTTACAGCTGCATGTCTCCGTCCTTCATTCCTATCACCTCCAAGCCACTCTAGTGCTCTCTTGACTTCAAACTCAACATAATCAGCCGTGAATGTTCCACCAGTCAGGGCAAGACGACCCATGGCTTTGGATGCCATCTCCATGACCATGGTATCATTGGAAGGTAACAAGTTTCGCAGATAATTAGCAAATCTTGTCATTTTTGTTGCATTCCCACCACCAGCAATACCGATCAAGCCAACTAATAAATATAGAAATAATATGATGATTAAGGTTAATGACTAAAGGTTAGTACTAAAGGTTTTTCATGTGACGTCAATGCAGCTATGTTTGAAGGCAAAACAAAAGAAATTTTCTCCTTTGGGAACTTGATTCTCTTGTCATGCAAAAATACAAAATGCAAAAATATTGCATTGTTCCTGAACACAAACATGGCTGCCCTGAAAAACCTCTATACAAGCAATATTATTTTGTTGTGAAGTGTGATCATCCAGGTGAGTGTAGCCTTGAGAAAGACTATTGTTGGTGATAACTGACGTTTCAATGACCTGAGTTGAAGTAGTTATGAGAAAAATGAAAGACAGTTGATGGTATTTAATGGATTGGTTAAGCTCTGGCAAGTAATTTATGCCATGCAATAGACCCTTTCACAGTTTCCAACGTCATATTTCTTGGGGGGCAAGATTACTAAGAAGCATCGGAGAAAGAGATACGTTTTTCCTTATATTTCTATTTTAAGATAAATTTTTGAGGCCAAACTTTGTCTGTAGATGGAGAATCCTCTGTTCAATGTTTTGTGACGTCTTTGAGCCGATTGAGTCATTCTTGTCAAGGGAAGTTTCTTTTATGGTCAAATTGAACCAGTATGATGGAGTCAGTTGAGAAACTCGCAAAACCCAAAGCCTCTGTCTCTCTGAGAACCAGTGTTATGCTGGCTCCATCGGCTCAAAAACATCACACAAAACATTGAACAGAGGATTCTCCATATACTGAAAAAGTTTGGTCTCAAAAATTTACCTCAGAATGGAAATATAACGAAAAACGTATCTCTTCTCCGTCGCTTCTTAGTAAACTTGCCCCAAAAGCTATATGGCATCAGAAACAGTGAAAGGGTCTATTTCCCTGGAGGATCAAAGGGGAGGTATCTAGAAAGGCATTATATAGCACCCTTTCTATATGAATAATCAAAGGCACTTTACATTGAGAAGTGAATGACAGATTGCTTTTTATGCAATTTACAAGCATGAGAGATGGTTAGTATGAAGTGTAGGCACTGAGGGTGGTCACTACCAGGGTTTCTTTACATCCTCAGTGGTTCTTTTACGTCCCTCCTATGTTGGTTAGTAATGATGAGTGTGGAGAGACGGGACCGCCATTTAAAGTGATCATCCGAGCCACTTGAAAGTCTAACCATTTGCAGATGTAATTACAAAGGCAACACTTTCTCCTCAGTTATTTTAAGACCCTGAGTGTTGGTCCAGCCGGGACTCAAACCACGACCTCCCGCATGAAAGTCCGATGCTCAACCGAGCCAACCAGTTAGCTCACTATTTTACCTTATTCATGACTGATGAGATAATGAAAACGATTAATGTATCATCATAAATACAATAATATAATTATGATAAATTAATGATATCATAATATCACGATTCTATGAAATAAATAATGATTATATTAGTATTAGTATATTTAATATGTTATCATTTAGTTTAGGTAGGAGCAGTATTTATTCCACAATAAAAAAGTAGGGGGTGTGAAAAACATGACTGAGAAAAAACGATGAATACCCAATGAGAAAGGGTTTATCTGCCTTACCTATGGCCATAATTCCACCTTTTTTCTCGTTAGCATCTGAACTCGAAACCATCTCAAAAATATGGTGATTGAAGTCGTCCATAAAACTGGTGTGTTTTTCCGGCGAAGCTTCTCTCAGTTCAGTCGAAACATAGTGTTGTAAACCTTTGGCTGCTTGAAGACGAACTTCGTCTGAACGGCTCTTAAGGCCGGCAAGGAGAGATTGCATCATTTTGGCGGCGAAAATTTGATGAAACGCTGCTTGAGAGGAAGATTTTCAAGAAAACGTGAACAACATGGCGGCCATGTTTTTGTCTGCTCTCTTAAATTATTACCATTGGTTGTCCTGTGGTAAAATTAGACAGGTAACCCATCACATTAGAAACTTGACATTGATGAAGCTTGGGGGGCTCCAAAGCTGTATATGTTTTCACTATTTTCGCACTCGAAAGGTCATATATTTTGGCCAATTAAAAATATATATAATAGAATCGACGAAAAAAAACTTCATAAATGAATACAACTATTCTAAATAGTAGTTTTCTTTTTGTTGCAAACGTGCTTTGACCAGGTTGCAAAAAGCCAAAGCTAAGGCTACTAGAGCCTGAGCTAATGGTATCCTTATTTCCAATAACCGTATTTAAGAGCATCCTTTTTTCCAATCACCGTATTTAAGAGTAACCTTATTTCGAATGACCGTATTTGTTTATTAAGAGTATCCTTTTTTCCAATGTCCGTATTTAAGAGTATTCTTTTTTTCCAATGACCGTGTTTAAGAGTATAGTTCTTTAAAATGATCATATTTAAGGGTATGCTTGACCATATTAGTAAGGGTGTCCTGACCGTTTTTTTTTTTTTTAATTATCCTTGAACGCATATACAAGAGAATCCTTTATTTAAATGATAGAATTATCCTGGCAAGTAACCGCTTGAATTGTCGAAGGATCGTTCTTGCTGAAAACATTACACGGGCTTATGACTATTCCCCTCCAAAACGAACGAAAGGTAATCTGAATTATAAAAATAACTGTTTTCAAATAAGCTCCATCTAGATGATGGTTGGTTGATGGTTTTGTAGAGGGAGGACAATCTTTCAATCTGCTATAGTTAGCGACACGTTTTGGCTGCCAAAAATTCAAATACACCCAGGGGCTTTTGGGGGGGAAGGTGTGTTGTAAAGGCGAACACTTGGCTTGCGAGTTCATAGTTTGATGCTCATAAAAACATGCTTTGTACGATAAAACCAAAACAAATTACACCCTTGATTCCTATTTAGCTTGCTCTTTTAGAATTTGATAGTTTTTGCCTTAAAATCCAAAATTGTGGAAAACCACAACCTGGATTAACCCCTTGGATCGGACTTTTCTTAGGTGGAGTGAGGAATTGAGAAATTTTTTTGGGGGGGTTTTCAAATTCAAATCAATGTTCAAAGTCTGACATAACTCAAACAATTGCTTTGACGCAGTTATTTTTAGAAATTAATAAAACATATGGGTTTTACGAAAAGGAAACAGTTTTACAACAACCAGATTAGGAGACTCAGTCGATCCACTAGAATCAGCACCTACCAGTACTAAGGAATAAAGTGAGGCGGTAGCTGAACAATTAAAGAAAATTCTCGTACCCAATCAGTGTACAGTAGGTGCGTATCAAATAAATAAATATCGGTCACAGCCGTAAGAAACATTTCAGTAACCTAATTTTCAGAAACCAAATTTCTCACAAGGTTTTCAAGGATCTTCTCAAAATAACGATATTTCTTAGGCGAATTGTTCAACTGGAACTTCATCAACAATTGAAAGGTTTTGTCCCAACAAGGAATAATTCTAGCCCACAATCGTCCTTTCGTAGTAAGAGAACGGGGACTGGAGTAGCAATTTATGATAATTGTGGAAAAAGGGGACACACGTATTACAATTGTAGAAATGTTCCCAGACTTCCAAATAGGCCAATTGGGCCAAATCGTTGGTCTTATCAACAAGGCCCATGGACGAACAACTTTAATCAGCAGGGCGTTCGGGAAACTAAATGGCGTCCCTACTGAAAAACGAACTAAAATAAAAGTAGAGGCAGACAAACATATTTAAAACATAGACCAAATAACTGTAGTAAGGGATATAACTTCACAGCCGAGGACTGGAACTTATTGCAAGGACTTGAAATCCCGTCCAGTCCGATTTGGAGGCTTTGAAATATTACTTCAAAAACGCAGAAAATCTTGAAAGAAATAATTGCTGAGGCATTTAGCAACGAAAACACATTGAGCATTAATGAAAAAGCATTGAGCAATGAAAATATATTGAGCAATGAAACTTTGAATAAAAATGACGATAAAGAATTTGGTAAAGAAACAGTTAAACTCTGTTTAATAAGAAATAATTCAAGAGACGAAAATTTAGATGAGTTTTGCAAAAGTGTTGATCCGACCAGTGATGACAACATTTTATGCCAAAACAAGAGTACAGAAATTATTTCTACTTTGGAGAAATATGAATATGATAATACAAACAAGGAAATGAAAACTTAGCCTCCGAAAGAATATGATAATGAAGACATAGATAAAATTTTAACAGGGTCAGAAAATGAGTCAAAACAAGAAATTTATAAAACAAAGAATTCAAACATTTCCAAAGATGAAGTTTCTTTCTTTTTGTCAAATAATAGTTTAACAATTTCTGGAAAGATTAATAACGAGGAATCTAAATTTCTCGTCGATATAGCTGCCGTAATAGCAGTGAGTTCGAAGCTATGGAACGAACAAGTGAGTCATTTAGATTTAGTATTAGACGACTGTGCCTTTTTTTAGCATAAATACTGTAGGAAGACTTCCGCTTAAACTTTTGAGAAAAACACTTATTGAATTTAATTAATATTGCTTCGCGGTCGTATCCTTGTGAGACTTATGTGATAGATAATTTGACATTTGATGTTATTTTAAGACCATACTCAGTGGCGGATCCAGGGGGGGTTCGAAGGGTTCCACGGAACCCCCCTTGAAGGTTTGATCTTTTAGGTAATAGAAATATGTCTTATATAAATTTTGCTTAAAAGTATCCACAAGGATAATGTTGAACACGAAATGATAAATATTTGCTGTTATAATGTTTGATTTACCTTTAAGTTCCGTTACTAGATAGTAAATTAGGTGATTAGAGCCATTTTGTTTTGTCAAATATCGACTAAACAAAAGAGAATTATACACAGTTTAAGAAACGGAACCCCCCTTTGAAAAATCCTGGATCCGCCACTGATACTTTTTAGCCAAGTATTATCGCAATATCGATTTCATTAATAATGTAATTGAGTTTAATTGGTTGAAATTAAGAGGGCATTTATTCATCGCGTTACGCGCTTTTCGAGTTACGCGCTCGACCACACCCAAATTTGACGTTGTCAAGCAGTGCGCGTAGCTCGATGTCATTAAGAAAGTTGTGTGAGATCGAGGTACGCGATAGGCGAGCAACTCGATAGTCTCCCCCACAGCCGCTTTCAGTGTCGTCACGCAACGCTTTCTCCCCTGATTAGGGGAGAAAGCGTTGCGTGACGACACTGAAAGCGGCTGTGGGGAAGACTAGCAACTCGACTGCAGGAAGAGATCTTTCGTAGTTCGAGTTACTTACGCTCTAAAAGCGCGTAACTCGATGAATACTCGATCCCGAAATTAAGGACCATAGACAAAATATTCTCTGTTTGGTCACGGAAATTACAAAAATTTTCAAATACAGTACGTTGTCACGAAAGTTTAATGATGGAATTCCTGTCAAAATATTCAGCTGAGGTTAGCAAGACTTTTTTCTTCTTTGACTAGACTTTTTGGACATTCAGGTTCCCTGCTAGCAGAGCCTATTTTCCTTTTGTTTTGGTTGAGAGAGAAAAATAGACTCTGCCGATGTAGGACGTTATTTCTGTCGCGCATGCGTGGCATAACGTAGCAACGCTGTCATGATTTTGACAGCCGCTCTCGTCAAACAATGTTGACCACGGTGTGTTACATTTGCTCATGCGCACTACATGTAATCGGTTAAAAACCGGTTTTAAAACTGGTTTTGTTCGTCCACAATTGTGGACGGCGGTGTATCAAAGGAAACGCTCTCCATCGGCRGAGTCTCCTTCCTCCCCGCCTGAAAGAAGGGAGAGAAAGAGAAGAGAGACTCTGCTAGCAGGGAAACATTCAGGCTACCGTGAATTAGAATTCCAGCATGAAGCATAACTTACCAAATTTTATGACTTTATAGTTGATTGATTAGTCGATTGAAGATAGATCCTGCAACTGCTGACGTTGACGATTCAATCTTTAGAGACTAGAGAAATGAAATATTAAGAAATTTCTTGATCAAGAAGGATTTTTATGCTCTGATGATGTCTTAGGCCCTAGCTAAACGAGGAAACATGTTTCTCGAAACATGTTTTCTTAACTGTTTCCAAACGTGGCAAAACTGTCAGGAAACATCGCGAAACATGTTTGCTCAACATCGGTTAGCGTATGCGCACTTTCAAGATAGAGCTAGCGTTTGCTAAGTAACAAACTTTTAGAATTTTGACTTTCGTGGCTAAACGAGGAAACATTGGGAAACATTGTTTCCATGCGTCTTGGAAGCATGAAATGTTTCTGCCGCACAGCAGAAACATTTTTGCGTCTTGGAAACAAAATTTGTTGCACGCAGCAATGTTTCGCATGTGGCTAAACTTGGAATCATCGGGGAACATGCGCGCGGGAAACATGTTTCTGGAAACTTGTTTCTTCGTTTAGCCAGGGTCTTAGATAGTGTTAGTGGGGTAGAGTGGTTGGGATTTCCCTGTAACAAAGACTTCAAACTGACCTTACATCCGTTAATTCACTTGGGTGGACGGTTTTTTCTATCAACTACAACGCAGACGTTGAAGATGAACACTGGGACTATGAACATCACCTCTCACTATTTACCACTTCCCGTGCAATGTAACATTTGTTGGCATCCAAACAAGTTTATCTTCTTGTCCTGAACCAATGATATGTCACTTCCGTTGTTTGGACAAGATACCGATGACGTATGTTAAGTTGGACTCTTCTTTGGATGATAATTTATTCCAACTAGAAATAAATAAGAAATAAGTTGGTATGAATGACAATCAACTGACTAAACGTATCAATCAGGCTAATAAAGAAATAAAGAAATTAATAAGATAAAGGATACTACGTTTACTACGTTCAACAATTTGAACATTTGAACTATTTTTACCTTATCTTAACTATATCTATATCTTAATAATACCTTATAATCTTTATCTATATCTTTTATTTACTCAGTATTAACGTAACTTTTGTAGAATACCGTGGGAAATTCCCACGGGTTTAGAATATAT